ATCTATTAAATGAATCAATTTATTTCCCTTAAAAAAATCAGTTTATTATAACTTTTTTGACAAAATCTAATAATACTCCATTTAAAAAGATAGTTAAAAAGGAGTTGAAATATTTATTTATTTTTTTTGAAAGAATTTGAAATAATTATTTAAGTAAATGTACATAGAATAATTATATATATGAACACCAAATAAAAAGGAATATATATTTTTCATAATGATGATACAAAATATTTGGAATGATTTTATTATAAATTAAATTTTTTATAAAATAAAAGTTAAAAAGGGATGGGGAGTTTTGGAGGGAAAAAACAACACCAAGATATGACACGTGTCACTCCAGGTGTTTGTTTTAGTATTATGTTACTAGGTTGGTCCCCGTTCCATGCACGATAATTTACAACAATCATAATTAAATTTTATAAACAAAAAAAAAATTAAATTCTAAAAACTTAGTTGACAAAATTTGATCAAAATGAATGATTATGAAAAAGTATGTTAGATATAAAATGTTGTAGAAACTAATCAAAATTATGTTAAGAAATTTTTTTACAGCTATATAAATATTTGTGTTAAAGAATCAAATCTTTTTATTTAAAGTGATATATAGTATAAGATTAGGGAATTTTTGTGTTTTTTTGAAAAAAGATTAGGAAATTATTTTTTATAAGATTTGTTTCTTTATTAGAGTTTAATAAAAAAAATAAGGACACAACAGAAGATGACACATGTCATTGCTGGTGTGTCTTTTAGTAAATAGTTGATTGATTGATTGATTTTCTTTTCCTTTTTTTTTTCTATTCCTCCTATTTTATTTTTGTCATGTTTTCTTTTCTTTTCCTCTTCTTGTTTTTGGTGCATAAATGATTCACCATCTCTTGCCGCCAGAGGTTAGTTGCTTCTCCTTTATCTCTCTTTTATGTTTTTTTGAAAACAAATTAGGGAATGAGTTTTTATAAGATTTGTTTCTTTATTAGAATTTATTAAAATAAATAAACTAAAGACACACCAGGAGATGACACATGTCATTGCTGGTGTGTCTTTTAGTATATAGTTATTGATACTAGGTTAGTCCCCGTTCCATGCACGATAATTTACAACAATCATAATTAAATTTTATAAACAAAAAAGTTAAATTCTAAAAACTTAGTTGACAAAATTTGATCAAAATGAATGATTATGAAAAGTATGTTAGATATAAAATGATGTAGAAACTAATCAAAATTATGTTAAGAAATTGTTTTATAGCTATATAAATATTTGTGTTAAAGAATCAAATCTTTTTATTTAAAGTAATATATAGTATAAGATTAGGGAATTTTTGTGTTTTTTTGAAAACAGATTAGGGAATTATTTTTTATAAGATTTGTTTCTTTATTAGAGTTTAATTAAAAAAATAAGGACACACCAGAAGATGACACGTGTCATTGTTGGTGTGTCTTTTAGTATATAGTTGACTGATTGATTTTCTTTTCCTTTTTTTTTTCTATTCATCCTGTTTCATTTTTGTCATGTTTTCTTTTCTTTTCCCCTTCTTGTTTTTGGTGCATAAACAATTCACCATCTCTTGTCGCCAGAGGTTAGTTGCTTCTCCTTTATCTCTCTTCTATGTTTTTTTTTTTTGAAAACAATTAGGGAATTATTTTTTATAAGATTTGTTTCTTTATTTGAATTTAATAAAAATAAATAAACTAATTTAAGGACACACTAGGAGATGACACATGTCATTGCTAGTATATATAGTTATTGATTGATTGATTGATTGATTGATTAAGATTCATGAATTGTAACTTTCCATTAAGAATTCTAAAAGTTTATATATGCAATTTTTTTTATCATTTTTTTTATTATTTAAACTTAAGGTAATATTCCAAGATATTATTTAAACTCAAGGTAATTTATTTCATTTTGTATTTAAACATAACCCGGGGCATTGTCCGAACCCCAAACTAGTTATTCAACAAGAAATTCAACTCTAAGTATTAATTACATGATTACATTCATCAAGAGCTTCAACTTAATTGGTTTTGAAAAACCTAGAAATAGTTTTTTAAAAAAAAAATTAAAAAAAACAATTTAAACTTTAATTTTTTTATATCGTTTTATATTTTTAAATTTTATTGTTATTTTAAAAATATATTAATTCATCTTAATTGCATTATTGATCAAAATAAATCGTGAATATTGGATTGCCATTTAATATATATATATATATATATATATATATATATATATATATATATATATATATATATATATATGTATATATATATATATATATATATATATATATATATATATATATATGTATATATATATATATATATATATATACTATCATCTATATTTTTAACACATCAAATATCAATTACGTTCATAAATAAAGTTTTATTGCCTATGATGTTGTTTAGAATTACATAAAATAATTTAAAACTTTGTTCTCTTTATTATTGTACAATTTTAAAAATTGTAAATTTCAATTTTTATTTTAAATATATATTTTCATTTTATAAGTAGTTTTCATTTAAATATTTTGTGGAATATTATGTCTCCTATTTTATACAAAATAAGTGAATAATACATCTTTAACATATCAAAGATAAAAGGATTTAGGTATGTACGTTGGAATTCCGATGAACCATCATAAACAGTGTTACAAGGGATACATTTAAATATATGTGTGAAAGAATGTATTGAAGACTTGTTGGCTAGAAACCTTTAATACATTCCGCTTGTGGGAATAATCATGCTAGCCAACTTCACCATTAGGAAAATGCATGACTTCATATGCTATGTAGACGACAAAAATACTGAAGACAATCCATCCATGATGATATAGAAAAAAGGGCAAAAAGAGTTGTATGGGGTGGGATTGAGGAGTAATGTCGCATACAACTTTATCTAGGAGGATCGGAAATAAAGTCCATCAGACAAGCAACTTCAACCTTCTAACAAAGTTAGAGTAAACCGAGGGTGCTCACTAATTTGTGTTCTTTGACTGAGAATCTTAAAAAGCAAATGTTGCAAGAGGAGAATTGACATTGACATGTTTGAGCCTAAAGATGACAAGCAAATGCAACCTTTTTCTTTTTGGTTTTTTTTTTTTTTTGGTTTTTTTGGTTTTTTTGGTTTTTTTTTTTTTTTTTTTTTTTTTTCATTTTATTTTATTGAGTCTAGGTTGAAGGGGCTTACTAATCTAAAGTTCTTTGGTTGAGAGTCTTAAGAAGCATATATATTGCAAGGGGTTATGCGACATTGACGTGTTTGAGCCTAAAGCTAACATGCATGTCAAACATTTTTTTTTGAGAAAAGACAAAATTTTATTAAATCTCAAAAAAGATTACATGGAGGCTACTAAGCCCCTAAGCACAACTGCTTGACCCAAGCTAAGTCCTTAGCTCTAACTTTACAAGAAGCTACTAATTTTGTTATATACATCCAGACACAATCTATTAATAACTAATGCATGTCAAACATGTGGAGCAGAATTACGAATATTGCTTAAATTTGTACGAGGATTCTAGAATGGTGATTGGTATTGTCCAAAACATTATTTGGAACCATCATGTCTATGGATCATCGAAAAACACTTCAAGAGCTTGCATTGTACGGAGCTACACCCAATAGTGGACGTTGCTAACTTGCTATGTCGATAGTAGTAACTGTTACATATTTATTTATTTATTTATTTATTATGTGTTCTCTTTCTAGGCCTTGCCCTTTGGTTGTACAAAAGAAAAAAAAAAAAATATCTATAATAAGAGTTCTATTGCGAAAGGTAAATTTAATAATCTTGGAATGATTTGATAGCTAGAAGATTGTCTGTCAATAATGATTTTGCTTTCATCAAAGACAAGCTTAATCCCACATGAAGAACTATAACTTCTACAACAAAGGACATCAAATATTCTACATATATTGCAGAGTTTATATCTATAATCCGTACGTGATACTTAATAAGCTGCAGTTATGACATCTTCCGTTAAGGATCGCGAAACTCCTCCCAGGCTTAAACGAATTAGACTTCATCAATGAATACCTAACATAACTAACTGGATAAAAGCTTTTTCAGATCGATTAGTAGCAACAGATGTTTAGTTCGTAAATAAGTTACAATCTCTATTAAAGCAAAACGAGATAATTTCAGACAACATATATACTAGGGCTGAGCAAAAGTACTCGAAAAACCGAAAATCCGAAAAACCGATCCGTAACCGTTCCGAAAATTAGGGTACCCGATCCGATAACCATAACGGTTCGGGTACTCGTTCCGATAATTTGTTATCGGGTATGGTTATGGGTATCATTATAAAATTAACGGTTATCCGATCCGATCCGATAAGCATTTTTTTTTGCTTTTTTTCCCTACTTAAATCTATTAATATAAATCTAAACTTTTACTTTACTTCATAATCACTTTATAATATCAATGATTAGTAATATTATTAATAATTTGGTCAAGATCATATGGTATTGTTGTTAATTAGTTGTAAATTATATCATAATAACTACATAATTAAGTTTAATCATAATTATTGGATATCTTATTGAATACCTGATAACCGATCCGAAATTCCGGGTACCCGAACTTATCGGTTCCGATTATGGGTATCACTTTTAGTGATTTTGGTTATCGGGTACCCGAACCGTTAGTACTAACGATACGGGTACCCGTCCCATGCTCACCCATAATATATACACTCGCAATCTAATCTCTCTTATTGTGCATAATGGGAATAAAACTAACAAGTATAATACCCTATATAAAGATTGTTTCCCACCAAACTTTCCATGCTTATTCTGTTTGTTTTCATTATTACATGATGACAATTTTGTTAAGTAAAACAAGCAAAAAGGGAGCTTGCGTTCACCTAAAAAAAAAAAATACCATACCACTTTTCTTGGTTTCATCGGTTGTGACACGTGTATGTGTTCTCCCCTCCATTGTCACTTTCACCTTTAATTTCTCCCCTAATTATTTCCCATTTACTTGTTTTATCCGTTAAAATAAACAAATCTTTCAAATTTCCAAACTTTAATACAGATTATATTAGGATTAATTACATTTCATTAATCAAATTTATTTTAATTAATTACTAAAAAGCATTTTTCTTGCTTTAATTTCTGTTGCGTCTTCTTCTTCTCATTCTCTCCTTCTCTCAGCTCTTATATACTGGTAAGCAACTCTGTCGCCTCATCTTCTAGCCCCTTTTATTGGTTTATTTTTTTTAATAGTAATTATAATTATTAATGTATTTCTTTTTTTCTTGAATATTAATGATGAATTAAGTTGAGTTTCTTCATTTTATTATCTGGGTTTTTTCTGGGGTAGATTAATTTTGTGATTTGGTGAAGTTGAAAGGTACAGATGATTGAAGGGTGCAGAAAGATTGCCTCAGATCTGGGTAACATACAGTGGACTTTTTAATTTGGGAATAAGGGCATTCATGTGATTATTTTTTTTATATAGTTATTGTTATTGTTAAAAATTTTCATGACCCTTTGCTTTATCTCTAATTTTTGAGATTTTCGGAATCGTAAATAGAAATAAAATTAAAAAAACGTTCTTGTTGGTTTTTATTTTTTTTTTTTCATAATTTTCTGGGTTATTAGTAATTAGATTATTTGAAAGGATTTGAGTTCATTTGATTGATAAGGGTTACTTGAAAAGAAATGGTGTTAGATTTATATGAAATGGAATTGGGTATTTAGTAAAATTGTACAGGATTTATTGATAATAAACTGATCAAAATTTTGTTTGATCTTTGTTGCTGTTTATTTTTGTTTGTTTGAGCAGTAATATTTGTGGGGAGTAGTGAGGGGAGAGAGGAAGGTGATTTTGAATAGATTTAGGTACCGCCTATTTGATGAACTTGGTAGTTTTTGCCTTGGTGTTGAGTGATTGAGAAGTTGATTTGGCACCGGATTCCTTATCCGAGTTTCGTGATCAACACTTATGACTCATACTGAAGTGGGAAGAAAGGTGAAATTGTGTTAATTGGTTTATGATAGATGGAGTTTGTGGAGGAGATTCCGAAAGCAGTTAGTATGCCGTTAATGATTGGCAATCTTGTTAGTGAGGATAAGGCTATTAGTACGCCTCTGCAGCTTGCTGGGCTTGTGCTGAAAGCGAATTCGTATAGCCTGTCTCCGGATAGACCTGAAACAAAAGCACTCTTGGTGCCTAGTACTGTTGGGAATAAGGTTTTTAATTGCAATGATCAGCCTGCCAAACTCAGTACATCTGTAGAATCTTTCTGTGTTAAGAATCACAAGGAAGAGCCTGAATTACTGAGGGTGGTGGTCTCCAATCATAGTTCTGGTGTTTCTAATGATATCATTGGTCAGGAAAACGGGGAAGAAGATTTTGTATCCTACTCACAGTCTTTGGCTAGTGAAAATAGCAGCAATTATGGTGAGGAATCCCTAGTTGTCGAGTCTAATTCTGATGCAAACTCACCAGCCTCAAGTGATACCGAGAAGAACACCCAATCATTTGCCCCCCAAAAGTATAATACTATGGGATCAAATTCAATGTCGAAGCCTGTTAGAGATGTGTTTGCAGTTGCAGAAGATCTTGATGTGGACGATACTCGTCGACATGATCGAAATATGACGATGGGTCTTCTTGAAGCATCGCATGATAAGATCAACAGAACAAAGAGCAGCCATTGCATATTTGAAATGGGTTCTATACCTCTTTGGGGTTTCACATCTATCTGTGGGAGGAGACCAGAAATGGAAGATGCTCTTGCTGTTATACCGTGTCTCCAAAAGCTTCCAATAAAAGTTTTGGCCGGAGACCACATATTGAATGGAATGAGTCAGACTGCACATTTTTATGCTGTCTATGATGGACATGGAGGTTCTCAGGTAAATATTGGTGTATTGTTTCTTCAGTTTGCTGCAGATGCGTTTGGTCTATACTTGTGGCCGTGATGGCGTGATGCAATTAAGATTGACCAATTTTCGGACCTCTAGTTTATATTTGTCTTTTTTTTAAAGTTGCAAGAATAGCACTAATGGTTTTTGTATAAAGAGGGTTATATTACGCAAATTATTGATCTTATTATTTGATTGTTTTTTATTTAGGTTGCTAATTATTGCCGAGATCATCTCCATGTTGCATTGTCTGAAGAGATAGAATTTATGAAGAGGGGTTCCCAAAATGGAAGTTTTCTAGATAACTCAGAGGAGAAATGGGAAAAAGCATTCTTTCGTGCTTTTCATAAAATTGATGCTGAGGTTGGAGGAGTTCATCAAGACCATGCTGGTGTGAATGATGATTCACCTGAGACTAGTCTTGAACCCATCGCACCTGAGACTGTTGGGTCAACAGCTATTGTGGCTGTTGTTTGCTCAACACATATCCTAGTAGCTAACTGTGGTGATTCAAGGGCAGTGCTATGTCGTGCAAAAGCACCCATGCCTTTGTCAGTTGATCATAAAGTAAGACATACGTTATATTCTTGTCATTTTTTTTCCTCACTTCAGTAACTGCTTGGATGTGATGATTGATCTTCATCTCGCCTGTCATTTTGTTTTCAGCCTGACCGAAAAGATGAATTGGATAGGATAGAAGCTGCAGATGGAAAAGTCATACAATGGAATGGCTACCGTGTTTTTGGTGTACTTGCAATGTCAAGGTCAATTGGTTAGTGATTTCACACTTTGCAAAGCTATTCTTGTCTCCCTAGTTAACAGTACATAATTTTGGGCTTCTTGCTGTTTCAAGATTTTTTGCTTATTGTTTTTGTCATGATACAAGAATATTGCAACATCTCGCAAGGTCTATATTAATTCATATTCTCAACCTGAATTTTTTTTTTTGGTACTTTGATATAAAGATCATGGCTTCTGTTGCAGAATATGAAGCAACCAAATATCTAACCTTACCACTTTTGGCTAGGGTTTTTTTTTATTTTTTTTTTATTTTTTTTTTTTTATTTTACTTTTTATTTTTATTTTTAATCTAAACAGTTGTGAATCATTTCATTTTTGGTTTAGTAGAATCCATTACAAATCAGTGCAATAGGTTAGAGTGGAAGCAATGAGCTAACATCTTAAAAACAGATTTCATTGATGGCTTAGCTGCATGAATTATTAGCTAAATCTAGATGATTTATTAGACTGCATAGGTACCTTATTTGTTAAATTAGGCAAAAAATGTACCACTTTCATTTATAATTCACTTTCTCAGTTGGTGGGGCTGTTTGGGGAATTAGGTAACACAAGATTAGATTTGTAATTCGTTGAGTCGTGTTTGCAACTTGCAAGTTCAACCAACTTTTGCGATTGTTTTATAAACTTTATTTATTATATGCTCTATAGGAATCAGCCTAGTGCTAATCAATATATTATTACTAAAACTCAATGGCAAGACATGGAATCCCGCCACATGTCACCATTACTTATGTGGCGTCATGTCGTACTACAATCAATCACCAACGTTTTCCCACTGTAAAAATTGTAATTTGTGATAATTGAACCCATGACCTCACTGCTGCAATGACATAACGTATGACAATGAAGTCATATTAAATAGTGTTAATCGCATTCATAAATTCTAAAATTTTAACTGTCAGCTTATGTGTAATATCAACAACAATATATATGATTACAAAATTCATCTCATTTATTTCATTTACTCATTCATAATTCTTATATATAGATTATATGTATTTTGATTATATGTAACCTAAATATGCATAACAATTTTAAAGGTTTTTTTATTCACCAAAAAATACGTTTACTTTATTAAGGAATTTTTAATGACTACCGAAGATAAAATCCTTTTAATGAATAAATAAAACAAATATTAAATTAAGGCTACTGCAGATTGAATAATGTATTTTGATGTTCAATTAATTGATTTTTTTAATAAAACAATGAGCCGAGGCATCGTCCGGGCCAAAAACTAGTTTGGTTATTAATCAAATCAACCTCTGTATGAGCTTTGACTTTTCATGTGGAGATACTTGATTGGAGACTGTTCTATTATCCAGGATCTTATTCTATGAAATTTGACTAGCTATATAAGACTGTTTTGATCACCAAAAACTGTACCTATAGTAGGGGGATGAATGTTGGGTTGATATTGTCCCATCATGTCCAGACATTTAACATTGTGAACATAGTAAAGTCCACATAGGGCAATGTTGGGTTTCTTTGTTATCAGTGTTGTTGTAATTGATGAATTCAACGTGATCAGTGGTTGTAATTCAAACTCTTGGGTTAGTTATTCATGGTATCATTTAGCGAATCTATTAAGATGATTCTGCTCTACAAGCATGCTTGAGAATGTGAACTAAATTAAAATCTTATCCTTTTCAAGTCTAGTCTGTCTACTTATGATGACCCTATCGGGTAATACCACTATGATATTAGCATATCATTAGCACTTTTGTTGGCTAATCTATTTTTTGGCCTAGGCGATGCCTTGGGTCATTGTTTTATTAAAAAAAACAATTGTTTATTTTTGCAAATATTATTGAACATTAAAATTCATTACTCAATCTGCAATAACTTAAATTTTACATAAGTTTAATTTATTTGTTAAAATGATTTTATTCTTCGGTTGTCATACAAAATTCCTTGCTAAAGCAAACGTATTTTGTGGTTAATAGAAAACCCTTTACATGTGCATTTTTAGGTTACATATTTACCTATATATAAAAACTATGAATGAGTAAATGAAAGAAATGAAATTAATTTTGTAATCATATTGTTGTTGAAATATACACATATAAGTTGACATTTAAAATTTTAGGGTTTATGGAATGAGAATAACCCTTTCTAATATGACTTTATTGTCATAAGTTGTGTCATTGGAGCGGTGGTTAAATATTACCGCTAACAAATTACAATTTTTTTTAATGAGGAAACATTACTGATTGATTGTAGTACGACATGACGCCACATAAGCAATGGCAACATATGGTGGGATTGTATGTCTTGCCATTGTGTTTTTATAATTTATATTGATTGATATTGATATGCAAATAGGGTAGCTAATTGAGCAATAAAGGACAACTAAAAGTATAAAAGCTTTACTAATTGTGAAATTTAGCACTATTGGTAACTAAATATGCAAATAGGGTATCTAATTATGCTTCTTATATTATTAGTTATTGACCTTTTTTTTTATTGGTTTTGCTATTTATGTTAATTGTTATCCACTTTCCCGTATTATTAGACATGTTATATACAAATATAAGATTAGTTACCAGATGCACGTCATGTGGTAATATGAAATAAGACTGTCATATAATTGTTCTCTCACTTCATGAAACTATTGCGATAGCACTGCATTTGTTCCAGTCGCTGATGCACAATTGTCTCCACAGTTGTGTCAAGCATAGTGCTTTAGAGACTCCTTTTATTGAGCTACAGTGAGCCAGGAAAAAGAGAAACGCTTATCTGTTACTCGTAAAACTTAGGATCAGCTGGAAGATACGATTGTTATAAGGGGGTGGTAGAAAGTTGATTACATTGCTTTACAACTTCTGATGATGTTGCCAGGTTCCAAATTCAGCAGTGAAAGATATATCGTGCCTGATGCATTGGTCAAACATGTGGGTTCCATTGCCACTTCTTCAAGAAAGTGCACACCAAGTATAAAAAAATGATATTATTCCTTTCATTTTTGCTTTTCTCCTTGGGTGCTCCACTTCTATATGGGTCCCTAGTATAATGGTAATAAACTCTATTCAGTATTTCAGGGTAAGGGAATTTGAGTTATGTTTGGTTTCAAAATAATTTTTTTGGGAGCTGAATTTTAGAAAATTTTGCAAAAAACCACCTTTTAAATCTTATTTTTTTGCATATAACCACCTTTTAAAAAAAATGTTGCAAAAGACCACCAATTTTAAAAAATTTGTTGCAAATAACCACTTTTTTAGCCAAATTTATCAATTGTTTTACCTTGAATTGGTGGTAAGTTGCAACAAAATTTTTAAAATTGGTGGTTTTTTTGCAACATTTTTTTTAAAAGGTGGTTAAATGCAAAAAAAACAAGATTTAAAAGGTGGTTTTTTGCAAAATTTCCTGAATTTTATGTATCAGGGAAAACCTTTCAGAATCCAGCTTTCGAATGTCACTTTTCATTGTTTGGTTCATTTGTTAAACATATTGGAGAGGAAGGGGGAGGAAGTGGAGGATAGGAAGGCATTCTTTGGAAAATACGGCAGTGCTTTCTGAAATGTTTCCAACCTTGGAACTGCATTCTTCTTAACAAAAAAATTCGGGTTTATTTTTCTAATGATGAATGTTTACAATCTACATTCTGAAAAGGTTCCATTCAAACACGTGTATTTTCCCATGTTAAGAAAATTCTGGGAAATGCTAAATAGGTAATTGTGTTTAATAGAGCCTTAGGCCATGTTTTCAATTAAGTACTTCATATATACGGCAGTGCTTTCTGAAATGTTTCCAACCTTGGAACTGCATTCTTCTTAACAAAAAAATTCGGGTTTATTTTTCTAATGATGAATGTTTACAATCTACATTCTGAAAAGGTTCCATTCAAACACGTGTATTTTCCCATGTTAAGAAAATTCTGGGAAATGCTAAATAGGTAATTGTGTTTAATAGAGCCTTAGGCCATGTTTTCAATTAAGTACTTCATATATATCTGGTGGAATGAGATTCAATTTTGAAGACATGAGTTGTTTAAGTTGTTAGATTGGTGCAGTGATAGTGATGTCGCGAATTTAGATACATACTGACCATTGTGCTGCACTTGGTGTAGCTTTACAATGCCTTGTTATAAACTATAAAGTCCTGTCAGGTATAAAGGCTTACCCCTGGTTGCAGGTGCATTCTGCATCCCTTGCATAGTCAAACAATGAGGTTTGAGGACTGCATGGATTAATGGGGTTATAGTGTTAAAAAAATCTGTTAATTCTATTTAATTCGTATTTTATCAAGGTAATACTTTGTTTCAATTTGCTTATACTTTTGCACTTTCATTTGCTTTTCCAGGGGATAGATATCTAAAGCCGTGGATTATTCCAGATCCAGAAGTAATGGTAATTCCTAGGTTGAAGGACGATGATTGCCTCATTTTAGCTAGTGATGGCTTATGGGATGTGCTGACGAATGAAGAAGCCTGTGAAGCAGCACGAAGGCGAATTTTGCTGTGGCATAAAAAGAATGGAGGCAGCATGTCCCTGGAGCGGGGAAAGAGTATTGATCCTGCTGCTCAAGCTGCAGCCGATTACCTTGCCAAGCTTGCTTTACAAAAGGGTAGCAAGGATAACATCACGGTTATCGTGGTGGATTTGAAACCTCATAGGAAGTTGAAATGCAAAACTTAGAGGTAACACCGCCCTATTTGAGAGTGGAGTTAGTAATATTTTTTACAATCTTTTTACTCAAGTCTTAGTTATGAGGTTTTCTCTTTGTTTTTTCTTTAGACATGATATAGAAATATCATCTGAGCTATATGGTAACAAATAGCCAAGTAGCTCCGTATAGTTTTTGTAAGGAGCTCCTGGAGTAGCATGATGTATATATGTTATGTATACCCAATTAGTGGAGTGGATGACATAAAATGTCATGCACGCGCTGATAGTTTGATAATTAGCCTAAAGGGATCAATAAATTGTGCATTTTTCTTTGCTAAGGTAATTGATTATTGATTGTGATAGTTATATTCACAAATGAGAAGCACTATCCGTACATTCGAGAAATTTGATTTGTATGAGATTGAGTTATGGCTGTTGGTTGAATACATGAATGGAATAATTAGTGAAGGGACTCAAGGGAGAAGAACTCGTGGAGGGAGCACACACTTTCTTTGCTGCGCCTTACTGGCCTTTGTGCTCTCTTGATATGTGAAGGATGCTGCCAACAGGCCCAACAATTCAACCAGTGAGCTACCTTTAACTTCACTTATTATAATACTGTTACACGAAAACTTTATATTTTTTGGGGTGTTGAGCCACTAGGACGGGTGATGAGAATTGATTCCAACATTCCTCGAGATTGGAAGGGAAGCTTTGGAAGGGAAGCTTTTAACCACTTGAGTTATCCCTCCTATCATTTAACTTTTTTTGACAAGTCATGTGCTCTGCCTAGCTCAGTTGTAGATAAACCACAAGTAGACTTGGCAATCCTGACCCGACCTGATTGACCCGACCCGAATGACCCGACTCATAACCCGAAAGTTGACTTGAAAATGACCCGAACCGAACTAACCCGACCCGACCCGAAAAAGAGTTGACCTGAACATGACCCGAAGTGACCCAACCCGAATGACCTGACCCGAAACCCGAACTTGACCCGACCCGAAATGACTCGAAACCCGATATGACCCGACTCGATTTTAACCCAAATTGATTGACCGAATCGACACGACCCGTAGTGACCCGACCCGAATCCTAAGTGAATAGGGTGAAATAGTGAATTACTTAGTTTAGGGCTTCTTTATTTCCTACGAAATAGGTACTCATGATTTTTTATTTATTTATTTTTTTAACGATTTTACTTTATTTTTCCAACTATTTTTTTAAAGTGAATCTATTTTGGTGACCCGACACAAATTTAACCCGAATAGACCCGACCTGAAGTGACTCGATCCGAATTTGACCCGACCCGAAATTGACCCGAAAATTGATCTTAAAAATTGACCCAACCCGAACAGACCCGACCCGAACTTGACCCGAAGTGCTAACCCGATTTTGACCCGAAACCCAAATCAACCCGACTCGACCCAAACCCGACCCGAACATTTACTGGCCCGAACTTAACCCGACCTGAATTGACCCAACTTGAACCCAACTTGAATGACCCGACCTGAATGACCTGTTTGCCAGGTCTAACCACAAGTCTTCAGACTCATTTTATATTGTTGAGATAAGTAAAGTTAGCCATTAGCCCATTATTATCTTGCATGATAACTAAGTGGGCTAAGTTGATAAAAATACAACGAAGGCCTACAATGCAGTGATGCACAACATGCCTTGAGCTCTTTCTCAAAGCAGGCATATTCTTAGGTGCATGTTTGTGCATGTAAAATAGGTGCAACACCCCTTAAACGCAACTTTTAGTGTATGAAATGCAGTCCACCTTTATCTTTTTTTTTTCCAGATATTATTCTTCCTGTAATTCTTCTTTTCTTTATGATTTTTTTCCCCTTTTTTTAAATTTTTTCTTCACTTTTTATTTATATAATAATATTCATCAAATTTTTCATCAAATTTTTCATCAAAATTTTCTCTGAATTCTATACTTTCGACCACTTTCATAAACTTTTTCTCTTCCCTGTTTTTTCTATTTTTATTTTCCATTGATTAAACTTTCTCTCTCCTCTGTTTTTTCTATTTTTATCTTCCATTGATTTTGTGAATTGAATAGATGAATTTGATTGTTATTCCCGAAAAGATCAATGCAAGTTAGTTTCTATGAATTTGCTATGATGGATATCAATTAGATTGATGAATTTGGGTTTAATTTGGGATGAATTTGATTATTTGAATATTAATTCAACTGTTGAATATGTGATGAATTTCATTTGATTTTGTAAGTATTAGGTTTAATTTTTAATCGATATTGCAAAAATTATGGTCGATGAATTTGTGATGAATTATTGAATTGCTGCATCTTAAATTTTTTTTTTTTTAATTACGATTTTGATTTTTTTAATTAAGTTGCTAATATTTGTGAATAATTTTTGGAAAAAAATGAACACGATGTACTTTAAAAGTGAACATTTAGTACAAAATGAACATTTAGTAACTAAAAATGATCATTTAGTATACTAAAAATGAACATTTATTACATAAAAATTAAAACATACGCATTATAAGTATTAAAAATATGAACATATGCATTACAAATGTGAGTATATGTATTTTAGAAAATGAACATACGCATTCAAAATATGAACATATGCATTGGGTCCTTGTAAGTGAACGCATGTATAAAAAATGTATGAACATATGCATTTAAGAATGTAAACATAAGTATTCAAAATATGAATATATGCATTTTAGAGAGTGAACATATGCATTCAAAATATGAACATATTTTATAAACATTACTTCGTAATATATACTTAAGAATATTTATCATATGAACAACAAATATTTATATTATGAACGTTTTAAAACATTCTAAGAATATAAGGTATCCAAATAATGAACATATGCATAGGTTCGCTTACATGTGAACATTATCTTTTCAGAAAGTGAACATAGGCATAAAAAAATATGAACTTATGCATTTCAGAAAGTGATTATTACATTTCAAAATATGAACGTAAGCATTGGTTTTCTTAAAGTGAATATAAGCATTTAAAGTATGAACATATACGTAAAAAATATGAGCATAAACATTTAAGAAAGACAACATATGCATAAACAGATTTAATTACTATTTCATGAACAACACATATTTACATTATGAATATTTGAAATTATATATGAACATATAAAATATTATTATGAATATTATGCATTTAATTATGAACATAAAAATTTGAAAAAATAAAAAATAATATGATTATGAAATATATGCATTATAAGTATTAAATGTTCATTTTTTTACGTGTTCATTTTTTATTATTAAATGTTCATTTTTTTCATGTTCATATTTTTTTACTAAATGTTCATTTTGTAGAGTGTAGTGTTGATTTTGGCGGACCGCGGATATGTTGTCTGGTTATTAATTTGGGCCGCACGTTTTGGGCCTTCACTTGTTGCACCTATCTTAGGTGCATGAGGATGCACCTAAGACCAATTGCTTTTGAGTGTAAGAAGAGTTTCCTAATAAATCCAAGAGATAAATTAAATAATGACCTCATTAGCCTATTTTAGTCACTTTAGTGTAAGGTTTGATAATAGATTATTCTGTCCAATTGCCTATTGGTATATGCAACATAGCATGCCACTTACCATAAAATATATGAAAATGATGTTAAGAACTGCAACGTATGTGATGGATTCCTTGGATTTATGTGGAAGACAGTGTTAAAGGGCATGTTCTCATTGACTGAAATCAGCTGAACTGAACTGAACTTAACTGAACTGAGCTGAACTGAACTTAGTAATTAGTGATTTTTAACTACGGATTAGTGATCTTTGATTATTTATTGATTATTTATTACTATACATATGTGTATATACATATGTACATATTAAAATATTTATGAAAAATATACTTTATAATTATAATATTTATGGAAAATATATTATAAACATGAAACCCCAAAACATTTTAACCACATATACTATATAATTTAAAAATAAAATAGTATTATGACAAAAGAACACAAAACACTTTTTTAAAAAAATTAAAATAAAATAAAATAAAATAAAAGTTTAAATTTTTTGTTGTTGTTATTATTATTATTATTATTATTATTATTATTGTTATTATTATTATTATTATTATTATTATTATTATTATTATCGTCATTGTAATAAGAGCTTAAAAGAATGAAATTTGGCTTTATATCATTAGCAATATCATTAGACATAAACTAATCTGAACTGAATTTCAACGTATGAGAACAGACCCTTACTTTATTTTTATGTTTTTTTCCCTCCTTTATCATTTAGATTTTCTTTATGGAGGGGTGTTACAACTTTGGTAGCTTGGTACTTAGTTTTCGTGCCTATCCTTTTCCCCTTATCTGCTAGTGTTGTAAATCTATGCTTGTCTTGAACAAGTGTTGTATAAATTAGTTGATCCTAGCTCCTGTTTTAGTTATTCAATTTATTTGTCATAAACTTCATTTGTAAGCTCGAGCTACAGAAATAAAGATCAAATATTTTATGCTTTTCTTGTTCATTCTTTAATTCGTTTAATTCTTTCAGTTAATCTTAGATCACAGATTATTACATGGTATCAGAGCTTTTGGTACAATTCTGGGAAACGCTTAGTTCTTCGTTTTAAACATTTTCATTTCAGAAATTTTAGTTCAAATTTATGCTAAAAAATGGCACAAAATCAAACACTAGATCCATCACAAAATACTTCCCCACCTTACTATATTCATCCTTTCGACAATCTAGGAATGAAATTGGTTTCAAAGAAATTTACAAGTGAAGCTTATAGTGATTGGAAGAGATCAATGATGATTAGCTTATTAGCTAAAACAGCTAGGTTTCATCGATGGTAGCATTATAAATCCAAATCCAAAATATGAATTGATTAAATCCCGGGAAAGTTTCAATAACATGTTAATTTCCTGGATTGTTGGAGTTTTGGATCAAAATTTGGCAAGAAGTGTGTTTTGCTTCAATACAACAAGAGAGATCTGGTTGATTCTTCAAGAGCGTTTTGGTGTATCATCATTAGGGTCAGTGTTGTATACTTTACATCAGAGTTTGAATGACATAAATCAAGGTACAAATGATGTTATAATATTTTTCACCAAAATCAAGAGGTTTTGGGATCAATTGGATTATTTCAATCCTACAATTATACGAACTGTTCTTGTCTAACCACTCAAAAATTGTTGAAATCCTAGCAAGATAGAAGATTGATTCAATTATTGATGAAATTGAATGTTGGTTTTGAGATTGTCAAAGGTAATCTGTTACTCATGCAGCCTTTGCCCGTTATTACTCATGCTTACAGATTGCTAGTACAAGAAGAGAAACACAAGCGGACCTATAAGCCAGATACAGATTAACCAATGGCTTTTGCAGTAGGCAACATAAGGTTCCATGATGCTCCAAGATTGAACAATTATCATGGCACATGACAAAGGTCTTACAATGATAACAAGAGAGTTAACTATTACTGTGATCATTGTAAGATTCCTGGTCATAATATTCAGAGGTATTACAAGGTGAATGGTCATCCTTAAAGATTTGGTAAAGGAAAAAGGGTTGCTACTATACTTCAGAAGATTTATGAGTGAACATGGATTCAAAACAATAGGATTTGCCATTTTCTAATGAGCAATATCAACAAATGGTGGAGTATTATGCAAAGCAGAATGATGGTTTAAGTGCTGCAGGATCATCTAAGTTAGCTTATGTGGCAAGTAAACTCATTTCTTCTGCACCATTTCCTTGAATAATGGATAATGGAGCCACATATAACATATTCTATGATTTGTCATATTTTAGTGAGTATCATTGTGCTAGGGTCATGATGATTTCATTACAATTCCTGATGGGACAAGAGTTAAGGTTACTCGTATTGGTACCGTTCATCTAGGAAATGGCATATATAGTGCTGAATGATGTCTTATATATTTCTAATTTCAGGTTCAATCACATTTTTATTCCCAAGATCTGTGTAGATATGAGTTGTTATGATGTTTTTACTAATGACAAATGTGCTTCAGAGTTCTATGATGAAGCCATTGCTTATTGGTAGTATTTCAGAGGATTATATATGGTGGAGAGTTCTTTAATCAATGAAAGAAGAACGTGCTATTAAAGATGTAGTTAGAGGTTTTGACGATATGTTGCTTTAATTTGGGTGTTGTAAGTGATTACTATCAAGTCAATGTGTCCAATATCTAAATATACTAGATTACCCTTTGCCCTTTGGTGTTAGATGTATAAAGTCTCAGAAAATTTTTGAGCTGCTACTTATAGATATTGGGGTCCTTACAATGTCTTAAATCATAATGGTTGTAATCTGTTTCTTACCATAGTGGATGATTTTAGTATAATGACTTGGGTGTATCTTTTGAATAATAAATCAGATGTAGTTCCTATTTTTGTCAATTTTGTTGCTTATGTTACAAATCAGTTTGGATTAAAAGTTAAGAAAGTGAGATCTAATAAAGAAAATGAGCTTTGTGCAGGAGATATGATTTTTTTTCTTTTTAAATAAAAAAAAGGGATTGAACATCATAGAAGTTGTACAGACACTCCTCAACAGAATGAAATTGTTGAGATAAAATACATGCATCTTTTAGAAAATGCAAGATTTTTGTTCTTTCAAGCTAAACTGCCAATGTCATTCTAGAGGGAAGGGGGGGGGGGGGGGAGATCAGTGTTATGTGTTGCATATTGGTTACTAGCAAGGGTAAAAAGTTTACAAGGGATGAATATTGAAACAAAGATCATTTTTGCAGGGATGTTGTTTTTATGAGCAACATTTTCCTTTTTATATTTCATAGTCAAACAATCAGTCAATTTTCACACTTTTCCTTCCTGAAGTGACTGATTTCACACCATTTATTAACTCTGAAATCTTGACATTTTTCATCAAGCTTGAACAGAAAAAAAAAAAAAAAAATTATGATCAAACAAATTCTTCACAAGAAGTTTGATGTAGCTTCAAACATTGACATTCCTAAGAATCTTGTCCATGAGAATCACGATGCAGTTGATTATATTCCTAGTCTTAGATAGTCTATTATAGAAAGGCATCGTCATACTTAGAGGCATGATTATATTTGTAATTCTGTTTCATCAATTTCTTCTCATTGGTGTAACGTAATTTAGTACACTACTCTCAATTTCCCAAGTCGCATCATTCATTTGTTGCTACAATTGAAACTTTGAAAGAACCTGTTATGTTCAAGCAATAAAAGATCAGAGTGGGTAGATGCTATATATATGGAGAAAGAGCTAGCTGCATTATAGAAGAATAACACTTGGATACTAGTTGAACTTCCTGCTAGTAAGAAGCTAATAGGGTGTAAAGGTTCGATTGGTTGCCATAGGCTATACGCATAAGTTTGGTATAAATTTTCAAAGTCCATTTGTTAAGATGGGAACAGTCAGGTGTCTCGTTGCCATTGTTGCTTCTAAAGGATGGTCTTTGTTCCAATGGGATGTGAATAATGCATTCTTGCATGGAGATTTATATGAAAAAGTATATATGGTAGTTCCTAAAGGGCTTCCTCAGATGAGAAAATATGCAGATTAGTAAAGTCTCTCTATGGCCTCAAACAGGCATATAGGCAGTGGTTTGCAAAACTATTGTCCGAGTTACAGAAAATGGGATTTCAGCAAAACAAGAATGATTATTCCTTGTTTATCAAGAAGAGAAATGCCCTTGTAACCATTGCTTGGTTTAATTCTTTTCTTGGCAAACTAGGCATGTCTAACCTGCCTAATTTAAGGGGGGTGATGAGAATAAAACTGCTGCTAATAATATTCTAGAATTTCTAGAAGCTTCTAGAAGTGAAATCAAGATTGGCAGTTAGAAGGTTGTTGCAGAGCATGCCATGTCAGCAAAGGCAATTACGAGTTTGTTACAAAACAAGTCATATCAGCAAAGTTGTTATTTAGTTGTAATATAAATAGTTGGTCATAGCTTCTGTTTTAATTATTCAATTCATTTGTAATAAACTTCATTTGTAAGCTAGCTCGAGCTATAGAAATAAAGATCAAATAATCTTTAATTTGCTAGGGCTGTGCAAGGTGCGGTTTGGGTCTCAAACCGCACTAAACCGTAAAATTGCGGTTTGTGATTTTTTTCAAACCGCAATTTTATACAAACCGCACCGCAATATACGGTTTGGTGCGTTGCGATTTGCTGTTTTTCCACAATTATCATCTTGTTTAGGTTGTGGCATATCCTCTCTCTCAAGAAATCCTTCCTCATTAACATCTTCAGCAAGGGGAGTCCCCATAGAACTTGGACTCCGTTGTAATCGACTCTGTTGTACGTATGAGACGAACAAACTAGACCAAAAAAAAAAAATTAATAAATTAGGTGCACAAAATTTAAAATTAAATAGACTATACACAGATTACTTACATAAAATCTATGACTATGTATAAAACGAACATGAATATGATAGATTTCTAAACAAAGATTTAAATATTTTTTTTTAAAAAAGTACTACTTACTTTAGATATCTCTGTGAATCTTGTAGTGGAGGCTGACAATTTGCAATATGATTGCATGTGGTGGTCGATTGTCTGAATTTATATGGACTTGATCTCTCACATATTAAGTTTTAAAGGAGAAAGAAAGTAGAAATTGATACAAAGACTTAGAGAGGAAAAAGAAAGAGGGAGTGGAGGGCCGGGAGTAGATGAGAATTAGAGATAGATGTCGGCTACTAGAAACTTCATAATAAAATCGGTAACCCTTACGATCTTTTATTTTTATATTTGTTTATAAAAATATATATTATAATATCATATAACGGTTTGCGGTGCGGTTTGGTTTGAAACTTTTTTGAAACAGCACCAAACCGCAAAATCGTGGTTTGGTCAAATTTGAAAACTGCACCGCAATTTTCAAACCACAAACCGCGCATTTCAAACCGCAAATCGCACCAAACCGCAAAATTGCGGTTTGGTGTGGTCTAGACTATACTCTGCGCAGCCCTAATCTTTGCTGTTCTTTTTCAATTTTTTTTCTTTCGTTTAATTCTTTTAGTTCATCTTAGGTCACCTATATTATTACAATGGGTGCATAATCCACATTAATATTTTGAAAAAGTCAAATTTGCTAGTGTCAATAAATAAAGTTATTGCTTACTTGAATAACTGTTACCTTTAGGTGTTTGGATCATGATTATTAAAGCGTGTTCACTGTCGCTGCTGCTAATCGTAATTCTGTTTTAAGTTATGCAAGTGTTATCACGACGCAAATTGTCAATCCAAATCATATCATTTTGTTAAATACTCGTATTTTCTTAATCATCCTAAATTCTACACAGTAACCCTCATGTGTTCACTTTTCCACGTTGTGCCCCCCTTTAAAAATTCCACGCTATAACCTCAAGGTCCATTTATCGACTATGTAGTAACCTTTTCGTTAACCCTCCGTTACATGTTGCTGGTTTTTTTTTTTTTTGAAACCTCATGTTGCTGTTAGTGGGGCCCACTTTACACCTATTTATTTTTTTTCTCAATTTTCGTGCTTAAAAATGTTCCGCTAAAGGTTTTAAGAGTCATTTTTCTCATAAGATTCCAAATTGAGCTTAAATTTTGCAAAATAATAATGTAGAAACCCCATTTTGTGAATTCACATTTTCATAGTTAAATTTAGAATTCACAAAACGGGGCTTCTAAGTTTTTTTTTTGGTAAAATCCTAGCTCAATTTGGACCCTTAAGAACCAAAATGACCACTAAAACCCTTAACAGCGCAACTATTTCAGCTAATCTTTCTCTTCCCTCGCCGCCTTTCCAAAGGAAAGAAGTTCCCAAAGAGCTATCAAATTTCTTCTTAGGCAGGATGGTTCCAAGTGTGTCCATTTTCAAACATCGTACAAACTTTGAAAAGAAAGATAGACGGAATATTTTTCAACACACAAATCGAGAATTTTTTTTAAAAAAATGCAAAGTGGGTTCCACTAACGGTGACCACTACGATAGGATAACGACAAGGTCACTATTGAGACATAATTGTAAGTTAAAAGTTACAGTGTGTAATTTTCAAAAGGATGGGACATAGATTAAAAAAGCCAATACTCGAAGTTTATGGACTTAGGGCCTGTTCTCTTCCGTTGAAATTCAGTTCAGTTCAGTTCAGCTCAGTTCAGTTCAGCTCTTAATTTATGGGATTTGTTAAACATCGCCCGCAAATTACTATATAAAGCCCACAAATATGACTTGGTGAGACATTATTGCCCTTATCATTTTTTAAAAAAAAAACACTCTCTACTTCTCTCTAAAAAAAAGAAAATCTACCACTCCTAAATACGACAATGTCTAGGCGGCAAGGGAAGGAGGTGGCGGCGGCGACGGCGGAGGAAAGGCGGCGACCTGGTGGAAAGGTAATTATTTAATATTTTTTTTAAAAAAAAAAAAAAAAAAAAAATAAGAAAACGGTGTCTGGTGGTGGGGCGTCTGGTCTGGCCGCCAGAGCCACTGGCGTGGCGTCTGGCTTGGAAGCCCAGCCATCAGGCCAGGCGTCCAAACCAGAAGCCACGCCATTGGCTGTGGCGGCCAGATCTGGCGCCTGGGCCATTGGCGTGGCTTTTGGTTTGGACGCCTGGCCTGGTGGCTGGGCTTCCAAGCCAGACGCCACGCCAGTGGCTGTGGCGGCCAGACCAGACGCCCCACCTCCTTTTTATTTTTTTATTTTTTTTTTGTTATTTTGTTTTTGTGTATTTTGGTTTTAATTTTTTTTTATTTTGTTTTTGTTTTTTCTGATTTTTTTTTTTATTTTTTTGTTTTGATTTTTTTTTTTTTTATTTCGCAAAATCAGAAATTTATTTTTATTTAAAATAATTTTGTGTTATTTCTTATTTTTTTTTCGTTATTGTGTTTTATTTTTTTTTAAATATTTATCAACTTTATGTGTTTTTTTTAATAAGTCGTGTATATTTTATTTTTATAAAATCAGTTTTTTTTTTTGTGTGTATGTTTTTTTTGTTTTGTGTTTGATGACTAAACATTTTTTATCCCTTAATTGATGTAGTATGTGGAAATTGTTTGTGTTAATGTGTAATTGTTTTTTTTATTTATTTTTTTGTGTGTATTTATGTTTAATTATTTGAAATAATTTTTATTCTTTTTTGAAATCCTAAATTTTGTAATATATTAGGGTATTATGTGTGTATTTGTGTATGCCGTATAATATTTTTCTATGTTTAATTAGTTGAAATAATTTGAAATTTTTGTAACATTTCCTATTTATTTATTATGTGTTTGATTTTTTATAATCTTTATTAATTTTATGTTTATAAAAATGACGATATGTTGGAAGTGTTGGTATTTTGTGTTTGTAGGTAGTTATTTATTTTTTTAAAAAACTTTTGTATGTTTATATATTTTATAATTTTTTGTAGAATTCACTGGGTCGTCAAGGTGCGGGGAAGAATCTAGCCATTCTTAGTAGAAGCTATTCAGTGGAGAGGTCGGGGGATAGACATGTTAGATCCCGTTTTATTTCGGCCTCGGCTCGTAGAGAACGAATCCACCGTCGGGATGAGGACGACGATGACGATGATGATGCTGAGGAGGGTGACCAGGAGGAGGGTGACCAGGAGGAGGAGCAGGAGGAGGGCGCATATGAGGATGAGGATGTGGACGATGGGAGTGGACCGTATGATGATTACGGTCCATTCAGTCAGAGGGTTGATGACATGTACGAGGCACATATGGTGGAGGTGCGTAAGGGTAGGGATGGTAGGTTTGTTAGCAGATCTGGCACATCATCTGCGTCCACTGTATCTGGGGCAAGCAGGAAACGGTCGAGGGCCGTTAATGATTCTTGGGTTGTTAGGAGTGAGGTGCCCGGTGGGCCTGTTGACGGGAGTGTGATTCCTAGCTTTCTAGGACACATAGCTGCCCGTATTTGGGAGGACCAGGAGAGGCCTTCAGTTACGGGCTTGTTGAAATGTCATACCCGGGAGAAGACTTGTAGCTTTTTGCGTACATGGGCTGATTCTTGGCCGGTGGAGAGCGAGATGTTCGATCGATTGCAGGGCACTGGGGTGGGTCACGTTCCTGCGACCATGCACGATAAGATTGACACTACGCTGATCACGGCTTTCGTTGAGCGGTGGCAACCGGATACGAACTCTTTCCACCTTCCGTTCGGTGAGTTGACGATCATGTTACACGACGTCGAGGCCATTCTGGGGATTCGTGTTGAGGGTAAACGACTTTGTACTGTGGCTGATGCGGATCAGGCAGATATGCTGGCGGAGTTGTTGGCGGTGGACAGGGCTGCACTGTACACCGAGGCGCTTGGTGTTTGGGATCACGGCGGTGTGAAGATCGCATCCGTGTTGGAGCGGTGTTTGAACCCCGCTGCGCGTAGGACGCACGACGCACAGCTGGCCGCTCATTGTTTTCTACTCCTCGGATGTACCTTGTTTCCTGATAAGAGCGGCGGAAACAAGCTCAGGCCGCGCGACATAGCTGAGGCGTGTGACCCCGACGATCTAGGCCAGTATTCTTGGGGATCGGCTACGTTGGCGTATTTGTATCGCCAACTAGGATTTGCGAGTCGGGCTGACGCGGCAGGTATCACTGGGTGTCTGACTTTGTTGCAGACCTGGATCTACGAGTATTTTCCTGCATTGCGACCACATCGTGACCCGGTTCCCATTGATGAGGGGATGCCGCGTGCCTGTGCGTGGAGACCGCGCTCTGAGAGGAAGTCCGTTGACCGGCTCCGATCGATACGTTTGGTGCTCGACAGGATGTCCCCCTTAGAGGTAAAGTTTATATATTATTTCTACAGTTTTTCAGTAATGCATTTATTATATGAATGTTAATAACTTTTAAAATAATGTGCACGTAAACTGGATGCCATTCGGCTCGAACCCTAGTAACAGGGTACCCAGGACCCTGTACACCGGCCTCATTCAGTATCGTGATATCGTGGAGGCGTACATGCCCCAGCGTTGTCTTCGCCAGCTTGGATTTGTCCAAGTCGTCCCTCCTCCCCCGGCATGGCCGATGAAGGCGGTCCGATCAGCATCGTCGAAGGACTACGTCGTGCAGTGGCCGGACATCATGACTGCGACGTGGGACCAGTTTCCGATGGTTGCCCGGTTGTGGACTGCGGAGTTGCAGAGGCCGCCATCTGGGGTTCCTCCCATGTTTGACCACTACTACATGGAATGGTTCAACCGGTATTCGCACCCGAGGTTGATTGCAGACCTCGACCACAGTGATGCTGATTACATGCCACCGCGAACTGCCGTGGAAGCGGTATGTCTCTTAAAACATTTGTCGTTGTTTTTTTTATTTAAGTTTTATACGTTGTTGTTGTATTTCATGTCGTATTTTCTGTTGTATGTAGTGGATGGGCAAGATACAGCAAGACGTACAGAAACTGTCTTTGGAGAAGGACAGCATGAGCGGACCAGCGAGAGCTGCTGTTGATAGTTTGGAACAGACACTTGCGCACTGGGAGTCGGCGTCCACGAGAGATTACTGATTGTCACGGCATGTTATTTGTAGATCATTTTAAACATTTTTATTTTAGTTTTTGATATTTTTCATTTACGTTTGCATGTCGATGAATTTAACATTGTGGTTTAAGTTTGTAACATTTCAGCTTATTGTTTTAGATTTCAAAATGCGACAACATCGTTTGCTGTTTTTAAATTAATGTTGTCATTAAAACAGCAAAGTAAAAATAAGGTTACATAGAAACAATGTACACATGAAAAACTAAAAGGCAGCTAGGGTGTTCCATTCGTGGATCC